AAAGATAATAAAATCATAAATTACATGCAGAAACGAAATAATAGAGTTTAAGATTTATATTCATTACACAATAATTTAAAATACCAATAGGGCTATAAGAATATCTATTCTAAAATAATAAATGAAAATTAAATGAATAAATAAAAGACAAATAACTGAGTTAAGTTCGGGGATGACATTCACTAGTTTTTGAAGGGAGTTCGGTTGGTTAATTATTCACAACCCTCTTATTGATCGAAATTTGGATCTTGATACTCTTGATCTGAAATAGTTAATGAAAGAGTGAGCTCCATTAGACCAGTAAGAATATCACACTACTCACCGATACAGAAATTAAGGGTTGATACAAATTCATAAAAATAACAAATAGAGCTCTTAATTTAAGTAAATTCATTTATCATAAGGAAAAATTATTTATTACATTTATTTACCGTTGCAAGATTTCTAAAATTGATCTATAGAGGCAATAACTCAAATAACATTCTAATATCATATTCAAGTAAGAAATAACAATGATTTTTCATTTTTATTTGACTATTGTATCCCTGGGGGTCCATAGGGATGTCCCACTACGCGTGAACCAATATCCAACATTATCAACTAACCGACCGTCCCCATACCCCGTCCGGTATGAGCACCAGAAATATCATCTCTCACTACCCCGTCCGAATGAGGGTGAATCGAACCATTTTCATACCCCGTCCAGTATGAGCGTCAAAAATATCATTCCTCGATACATTGTCTGATATGAGACAACGTTCACGATAGGGTTCCCTATCTACCCGGTCCGTCCACTATCTCCCAAGATATCCAGTAAGACTACCATTCATTAATTCACATGACTAAATAATTTTTCGTTTGCATATTAATTTTTAATTTCACGAATCAACTGTAAATCATGCAAGATAAGTAATATATATATATATATATATATATCAAGGAATTAAAATTGAATCATTTAACCATTTCAGTATATCATCATCTATTTAAAACTGTAAATTCAACAATTAATTAAACATGACAAATAAATAACTAATCGATTCCGGCTCCATTAATAACCTGTAATTATTCTCAAAGTTTTAAAATTATATAAAATATTATATTATCGATTATTAAGATTCAATTCCATAACAGAGAATAAGGTGAAAGATTCTTACCCGAATAGGTATCTGAAATACTGAACTTTTTACTGCACCTATTGGCAGTTCCCGGGTTCGCTATATTTTCTCGCGGAGATTAAAATATGTTTTACGTACTTAAAAATATCCTAAAAACCCAAAATCGATGTTAAAAATATTTTTTTTGGTCAATTTTGGGATTCCGGAACGATGGCACCGCCGTGCTCTGGTGATGACACTAATCCTTTTTCGGTCAATTTTGGGATTCTGGCATGACGGCACCGCCGTGCTCTGGTGATGACACTAATCCTTTTTCGGTCAATTTTGGGATTCCGGCATGACGGCACCGTCGTGCTCTGTTGATGGCACTACTATCTGCGGCGGCGGTTTGCCTCGGTCTAGTCGTTTTTAACCAATTTGATACCCATCCTTGCGAGCAAAAACACGTTATGAGGCCTCGGTTGTTGAAAAAAGTCAAAAAATGAAAACTTATCAGTGGCGAGATTTTTCGGTGCACCAGCTCTGCTGGTTCACCTTCGTGGCTGGGTGTTTTTCTTCGGTCACCTGTAGAAAACAAAACGGTGAAAAAATTGTACGAAACAGAAAACGAGAAGGAGCTCATCAGAGGAGATTGCGGGTTTTATCCACGGCAATGGTACCGGACTTTACCCGCAGTTTTCGGTTCATTCGCCATTTCTTTTACTCCGATTTGGCCATGGGGGTGCTCAGAATCAAATTTTGAGAAGATATGATAATTTTTACATTTTTAGCGGTCGGAGGCGGCTCCGGTGCAACAGTCGGCTCCCTTCTCCGGTGACTGGTTCTTCTTCTCTAGCGGGAGGCTGGCAGCTAGGATTTGGATTCAATCTGATGCAAAATATTTATACCTGTCTCACGTTAATTTGGGTTATTCATCGCGTTTGATCTCGACTGTCTGATTGCGTTTAAAGAGAAAATGAATCTAAACTGTTCATCGCAATTTGATCTCAACCATTTGATCACATTTAAAAATGAAACGAATTTGTATCGTTCATCGTGTTTAATCGCGACCGTTCGATCGCACCTGAGGAATGCACATATCCGGACTGTCCACGCGTGCGAGAACGCTTCTAGACCATCCAATTCGCGGGGCACGCAGATCGCCAACATGGCCTCTCGCGTGGCATCGAGTCAGCGTGCCTTGTCACGCGACGCATTCTGGTTAATCTAGGATTCTGACTGGGCAGTCTTACATGGTGCAATTTTTTTAAATTGTATTATGACATCCCGTTTCTGATTTTTCTTTCAAAAACATCATCTGAACCTAAATTTTCACCATTTTTTTCCAAAATTATATTCCATTTCATTATCAACTTATTTTTTTTTTCTATAATTTGACATTAAATTAAAATTTATTAATTTCAAAAATAGATTTTTATACATTTTTTTTTATGTTGAAATTAATTCCATACCAAATTCTGAATTCAGGTATTACAACTCACATCTTGTGGTTGATGATTAGTGGTTTTACGGAGTAGTGACTAGTTTTGATTGAATCAATAGGTGCTCTATACTAGATGACAGGTACAAAGAGTAGCGATTGCTTTTAGCACCGACAAATATTAATTGGTGGTGGAGGTAGCTCGTCTTATGATAGTCGGTGCCAGGAGGGAAGTGGTTAGGTATGAAGGTGAGCCATTTTAGTTTTTTTTTTTATAAAAAAATCGGCAATGAAAGTCGAATAAAATTTGATCACAAAGAACTCACAATTGTGAGTCATGTCTGGTTATAGTAAAGACGATAGAGAGAGTTGTGCGTCTTTGTAGATGGCTCTTGGACGCCCAAATGGATAGAGAGGAACATGACATTAGTTGGTGGCCAATTATGAAGGCTAACTTATTTTAGTTTTCTTTCTTTTATAATTTCATCGATGAAGGTCGAATAAGGTTTTTACAAAAGAGTTTAGGAAATTTTTAAACTAAATTTCTAATACTATATTAAAAATGACTTTTTAATTGATATGTATTTCATTAAATATTACATCCTTATATATATATTTTATATGACAAAGACGAAATAAACAATTAATTATTAATAATATAATTTCACCATTTAATTTGATTCACTTACTTTATAATATCATGATTTATTTCATCTTTTAATGCTTCAATTTTTTTAATATCGTGAGTTATGTCATTTTCAACATTTTCATTTACTTTTTTTTAGTATAATGATTTTTTTTATCTTTAACACCTTATTTATTTTATTTTTAATACTATAATTTTTTTTTCATATTTACAATTTAATAATGAAGTATAGTTGAGTTAATTTTTTCATATTAAAATTAAATATTTATTTAATTCGATTGAAAATATATTATTCGCATTAAAAGTCAAGAAAATTAATAAATTGTTAGAAATAAAGTGTTATATTTTACTTTACAATAATTTAGAGCTAACATTAAAAAATAACTTTTAGTTATCAAAATTTATAATAGCGTGAATTTAAATTATGTATGTTGTGTTCGAATTATGGATCTCAATAAATGAGGTCGAGAAAAATATATACAAATTTTTTATATAAATAAAAAATAAAAAGAGGAATCAATTTTTTATCTAGATGATTTGATTTTTAATTTGATTGTAGACTTTTTTAGAACTATCATTTATTATATGAATATTAAATAAATAAATTTATTTAAATTTTTATAAAAAATTATTTAAACTGTTATGTCCGTTTATACATAAATTAACTGTTACGTCAGTTTGTACATAAATTTTTTATTATTTATGAAATCATTTGGTCTAGAAGTTAAAAGAATAAATTATTAATTGTTTGACTTAATTATAGCCACAAAATAATTATATTTTAACAAATAAATAAATAAAGAGATAGTTGGATCCAACTCAGAAAAAACTGTTTGTTTATTATTTTATCTTTATTTATTTATAAAAGAAATAAACGGAGATTCTTTTAATATAGTCTAAATTAAAAGAATCTACAGCACGTGATAGTACAAAAAATAATAAGGGTATGTTTGGTTATAAAGAAAAAATTTATAATAACTCGATTTGAAATTAAATTATCAAAATTTATATATTATTAAATTTACTAACTCTTTTTAATTAATTATTGTTAATTTATTTAATTAAGTCATTTTATTTCAATATATTACATTTAAACATTAATTAATTGAAAAACAATATTAGAAGTTTTTCTTGAAGAAAAATATTAAAGCTTGGTTTTTACTCGGATAAAGAAAGCTATATAAGATATATATTTATGAAAAAAATAATTTCATAAAATTATATTACTAGATTTCATACTTTAGTACTAAATACATTTCATACCCAAATGCAATCTCAACTTTTTGTAATAAGCTATGAAATGTATGAATATAAATTTATGTTTAAAAGTTCATGAAATTATATTATTTTGATAAAATATTTATATTTTGTATTTAAATTTCATGAAATTTTTAAATTCTTAATTGTAAAAAAAGATTTAATTGATTTCGAAAACAATCAAATAGTTATTAAGGTAATAAAATTTACTTTCAATGAAAGC